AAGGGGCGTGTATAGATGTTGAATAGTATAGTGAGAGAATTGCCCCTTGAGGGATGCCTCATACCAAGGGGGTAATATGGAGAAACCCTTTCCCCAAGCATCACCCTCTGTCCCCGACTGCAGAGAAATGAGATGAGCCACTGTAAGATTCTAAACTGGCCGGTAGTTGGCTGGATCAGTCGGATCCAGGGATGGTTTCTTTAAAAGCGGTCTTACCACTGCTTCCTTTAAAGTCCCTGAGAAGGTCCCTGAACTCAGAGACAAGTTGATGATGTTCACCAGGGGGATCCGTATTCTGTTACCGCAGGCCTTCACCAGCCATGATGGACATGGATCTAGGAGGCAAGTGGCGGGCTTCAAAGCACCAAGGATCCTGTCAACCGCGTCCTGGGAGAGTTGGCTGAAGTGGTCCATTACAGGGCCAGAAGACAGCCAAGGGGCGTCCCATTCCGGTACTGTATCAATACTGGTCAGCAGGTCATGGCGGAGCGACAAGACTTAATCCACAAAACAGCTTGCAGAGGCCTCACAGATAACTGCCAGAGTATCATCTTTGTGGGTGCCCTGAGTAAGCATAGTTAACAACTTGATTATTCTAAATAATTGAGCTAGGCGAGAGCTGGCGGACACAAAAGAGGCTGTGTAGAATTCCTTCTTTGTGACCTTCACTGCCATCTCATAGGATTTCATAAATGCCCTATAAGATGTTCTTGCAGCTTCATCACGAGACCGCCACCATACATGTCTTAGCTGTTCCAGCTCTCATTTCATCCTTCGTAGCTCCATGTTATACCACGGGGCTAGTTTGGGGCGGGAGCAGAGAGGGTGTTGGGGAGCAATTTCATTGATGGCTTCGGAGAGACGGCTCTGCCAGTACTCTACTAGCGCATCTAATGAGACGCCATGGGGCATTGGATCCAACACTCTCCATGGGCGAGCATAAAGCAGCTCGCTGCCTAAGCAGGTTGGGAGTGGAATACTCAGCCAAGCCTTCACTTGCTACCACATGAAGTGCATGATTAACCCATGCCTGGCTGTTTGCTATTGTTCAGCAGCACCCTCTCAACAAAAGTGAGTGTGGTACAGTGGTTAGAGTTTCATACTAGAATCTGACAGACCCAGGTTCAAATCTCCACTCTGTTGTAGAAGCTGATTGAGTGACTTTGGGACAGTCATACCCTCTCAGCTTACCCTACCTCACAGGTTGTAGTGAAGATATAATGGAGAAGAACAGAATGATATAAGCTACTTTGGGTCTCCAGGCAGAAGAAAGGCTGTGTATAAATGAAGTGAATAATAAATATAAAAGGAAGATGGCGGGGGCAGACAGAAGGCAGTGTGGTTGATGGTTAGGGAAGAGAAAAGAAAACTGAAGAATGTCCTTCCTGAAATGTTGCGTGCTTTCTGGAGTTTGCTTGCCAAGCCACCTCCCTTTGCCTACTATGCCTATGAAATGGAAATCCTTTCTCCTCTCTCTATGCAGCTTAGTAGAAAGGATCCCTTACAACCCCGAAGAACCTCTGTCACCATTCGATAGTGAGAAGAGTTAACAGCCAGAAACATTCTTCCTGTTGAAGCCAACAGAAATAAAAACAAATTGAATAATTACAACTAAATAGCTTTAACAACTATTATAGCTAAACCAAACCAAGTCTTTTAAAATGAAACAGAACTGGAAAAGAGCAAAAATGTCCCTAATGGAAAGTCTATTCATGCAGGACATGTAATTTGTGAAACAGCCCATTAAGATGCTTCACAAATGATTGTTTACACGTGTGTAAAAGAACCTATAAAATGCACAACAGTTAATTACTTATAGACATATGTTGCATGAATTGGGAAACTATTTTGAAGGAGGTTTGAAGAAGGCAGTGGTACGTCCGCTCTCTCAAAAAACCATTGCTGGACCCTGTGGTCCTTGCCAGCTACTGCCTGGTTTCATATCTTTTGCTTCTGGGCAACATGGTTGAGAGGGCGGTGGCGGAATAGCTACAGGCTTTCTTAGATGATGCTTCCATACTGGATACCTTCCAATCCAGCTTCCACCCTGGCCATGGGGTGGAGACTGTGCTGGTCAGCCTCATGGATGACCTTCGGAGGCATATGGATCAAGGCGGGTTGGTGCTGCTGCTGCTTTTAGATCTGACAGCAGCATTCAACACGGTCGACTGTGATCTACTGACCCACCACCGTGCTGACATTGGGATACAGGGGACTGCTTTTCACTGGCTTTCCTCCTTTCTCCATGGTCGGGGACAGAGGGTGGCACAAGGGAACAGGATGTCCCCACGATATCCACTGGAATGTGGGGTACCGCAGGGGGTGATCCTCTCTCCGATGTTATTTAACATCTATATGTGCCCCCTCGCCAAATTGATTTGGGGATTTGGGCTGGGATGTCATCAATATGCCAATGACACCCAGCTCTTTTGATGGATGGATGGCGGGACTCCACTCCAGATATCTTGGACCAGGCATTGGCGGCCGTGGCTGGATGGTTGCGGCAGAGTTGGCTGAAGTTGAGTCCAACAAAGACAGAGGTCCTATCCCTGAGTTGTGGGAGGTTGGGATCGGGAATTAGGCTACCGGTCTTTAGTGGGGCACTATTGGTGTCAAATGTCCAGGGGTAAGGAGTCTCGGGGTGATGCTGGATTCCTCACTTACTATGGGGGCCCAGGTCATTTCGGTTGCCAGATCGGCCTTTTATAATCTTCAGCTAGTCATGCAACTAGTTCCCTATCTTGCTCCCTGGGACTTAGCTACAGTGATCCATGCAATGGTCACTTCCAGGCTAGACTACTGTAACTTGCTCTACACAGGGCTACCCTTGAGCCTGATCCGGAAATTGCAGCTAGTGCAGAATGCCTATTGATGGTGACGCCTGTGTGGGCACACATTCAACTGGTGTTGCTCCAACTGCACTGGCTGCCGATCAAATACCAGATCCAGTTCAAGGTTATGGTTTTGACCTTTAAAGCCCAATGTGGCCTGGGACCATCATACCTGCGGGACCGCCTCTCCCTCTATGAGCCCCAGAGAGATTTTTGTTCTTCTGATCAACATCTCCTGGTGGTCCCTGGCCTAAGGGACGTCCACTTAGCCTCGACCAGGGTGAGGGTTGAAAAAGCTCTCTCCCCGGCCTGATGGAACATGCTCCCATTTGAGATCAGGGCCCTGCGCGACCTAGCACAGTTCCACAGGGCCTGTAAGCTGGACCTGTTCCACCAAACCTTTGGTTGAGACAGCAGGCATTCAGTCCATTCTGGCCCCCCTGTTTGTCCACAACACTGTTTATGACCTTTTCCCAGTGGCCTACTGTTCTGGTTACCATCCGGACACTGGAGTTTCTTAGGGTAATTATTTCATAATGCGTGGGGTTGGTTGATCTGCTATTGCTATTTATTGTTTTACTGTTTTTATTGCTTGTTCGTTTTATGTTGTGAGCCGTCCTGAGCCCATTTCTGGGGGTAGGGCGGGGTATAAATTTAATAAATAAATAAATAAATATTTTAACTGTGTGCATTGTGGTTTATCTTGGAAAGAACCTACAGGATCTGTGCATATTGTTGTATTTGACCAAACCAGGACTGTAGACTTTTATGCAGGGCTTTTTTTGTAGAAAAGGCCCAGCAGGAACTCATTAGCATAACAGGCCACACCCAACAGCAGAAACTCATTAGCATGTTAGGCCACACCCCTGACAGCACAGCTCATTGGCATATTAGGCCACACCCTCATGTTACCAGAAGTGTGCTCATCCAGCCACACCCACCTTTTGCTTCTTATTCTGTTTACCTTGTTGTCAAAACCCAGGGCTTTTTTTGTAGCAGGAACTCCTTTGCATGTTAGGCCACACACCCCTAATGTAGCCAATCCTAATGGGTTTCTGCTGTTGGGTGTGGCCTATTATGCTAATGAGTTCCTGCTGGGCGTGGCCAACTTGGGAGCCAGCCGGAACTCCGTTCCTGTCCGTTCCTGCCCAAAAATAGCCCTGCTTTTATGCAATCTGTTTACTTGATGTCACGAATGATCTCTCTCTCTGTCTCTTCCTAATCTTCAATGTGCCTGGAGGGTTGAGTTGATGATGTTTGCTTGTCTTCACTGGCAACATCACTCCTACATGTTAGTTTATGATGGGTAAATGTCTTCATATATGGCCAAAGGCCAAAAGATATGAAACTTCTGCCCAGTATCATTTCTGCTTTGCTCCTCCTTCATTCTACTCCAACACCCCTTATAGATGTAATTTCTCCATTCCTTTCCTCCCAGTATCTATCCCATCTGTGTTTTAAGTTTCATCAGATCTGTTCCTTTCTTTCTTGTTCCTACTTAATCTGTGATTGGAGCTGGATTTGTATAAAAGCCAAGTAAGATACCATTTAGGGCCCGGGATTGTAAAGGACCACTAAACACATTTTAAAACTAAAATTGTAAAATTATCGTTTTTGGTAAAGCTGTATGGTCTCTTAAACTTCACATAATTTAGGGTCTCAGCATGTCTTAATCCTGCCTTTGCCCCCTCCCCATCCCAGGAAGAGGGATAGAGGTATTGATTTATTTGGGGGACGGTACTGCCTGTGGTGGTGAGGAAACCAAGAGCTTGGGCTTGGATAAAGGTTATATAAGGGCTGAGAAAGCACATGTTTGTGGATGACAAAAACACAGTATAGCTGCAAATGGAAAGGCAAACTGACTAATTATGGCTGAATGACTCTGTCAACTGCTGTCTTGTGGTTAGAGGAGGAGTTCATTCTTGTGTGAAGGGAAAATCAAAGCCAGATGATTTTCAGTGAGGTAACCTCATTTCTTCCTAGCTATTTTCCTGCCTCAGGAAGACATACTTTTTGTCTGTGTCTATGCTTTCCCCACCCCAAACATTTCTCATGCTCAGACAATATATTCATAGTCTCCCAACTTCTAAATATAGCCAGTAGCACAAAAGGTAAAACAAAAACAAAACTACATGCCTCTTAAAAACAACCCCTCATTTTGCCTTTCAGGGAAAGCATTTATAGACTCTTACCCCAGACAACACCCGAAAATCTCACTAAGAACTTTGACCAGTACACAATTGATCCTGTAACACGTTATCCAAACTTGAATTCAAGCTGTGTTCGGCCTCATCAGGTAAGCAAGGATGTACAGGAGATGGAAACTGTAAAGTGCCCGCTGAGAAATGATACGGAAAAGGGGTATTGGGTCATAAAAGTTTAGTTACAGTATTGAATTCCCAAGAAAAATGTGTCTAAATATTTGTCGCACTCTTTAAACTCTTTCCTTGTAGCTCAAGGTCACTTAAAAACCACAATTTAAAATATGTAGATTCCCCGTTAAAAGCCCTGGCAAATAAAATGGGCTTGCAGTACCTCCTCAAAATTTCTAGAAATGGGGCCCTGGTTCACCTCCTCAGAGAACCCATTGCCCAGAATGGAGGCTATTAATAGAAAAGGCACAGGCTCTAATTGGATTCAGGTGGGCTGCTGATGGTCACAGTTGGCACATGGGGACATATACATAAGTGCTAGGCCATGAAGTTCATAACCAGCACCTCGAATTGAGCTCAGAAACCAACTGGCAACCAATGTAGCTCTTTTAGACTAGTTAAGATATGTTCCTATCTATCTGCTAGCCCTTTACAATAATTAGGTTGCCTCATTTGGGATGAGTTGCAGTTTCTAGTTTGTCTTCTAAGGCATTCCAGATGTAGAGTGTGTTACAGCAACACAACTGTGAGATTACAAGAGCATGGATTACAGCATGGCTAGGAACGGAAAGAGCAGATGAACCAAGTGCCCTGTCGACCTGCTACACAACAAACTATTTTTTCAGCAAGCAAGGTTGTTTCTTAATCTGTTCTGCAAATGCCAGCTCCACTCCATCCACAAGCAGGGCCAGTCCCTCTAGAGCATCTGCCTTCCTAACCAATATTACCTCTTTCTTGTATGGATTTGGCTTCATCTTATTCTACCTTAGCCACCTGACCACGGCCTCAAAGTACAGTTACAGACCTGAAATGGATGTGACTGGAAACTTTAGTAATAAAATATGGAGCTGACTGTAATCTGTATTTTAATGGCGTTCAGCCCCAAAGCTCTGGATGATCTCATCCGATGACATCATACAAATTTTGAGGAGCATTGCTGACAGAACGAAGCCCTGAGGCACTGCACAGGGAAAATCCCAGCCTATTGATTATCTGGATGCTTTTCATCTCCAGTGAGAACCAGAGATCTAGTCAACTAATTAGGAAAATGGAGTTGATCTCTCTGTATTGGGTGGTCTTAGGTAAATCCTCATGCTACCCTTTATGGTGCTACATTGCCATGGGGCTCTATAGACATTATGAATAATCCGGAGATGACCCTCTATAAGAGAACTAAAAAATAAAACTCTAGAAATAGCAGAGATGGATAGAGTCAATATGGAGATAAAACAAAAATCAGAAGAAAAGCACTGGGATAGATGGAAACCTGTATATAAATGGTTAGGGATAAAGAAGATTACAATGGATGGGAGATAAGCTAGCACACATATAGAAAAGGGAAAGATATAAGCGTGAGCACTATTTAACAGAAATGAAATGAAATGATGTAATGATGATATGGAAATGTATGTATATATGTTGAACTGTGAGATATACTCCGATTGGATATAATGTTTTGAAGATTGTTAAGCAGTGCAAAATTTGTTTAAAAATTCAATAAATAGAGTTGTTAAAAAAAATAAAAAAAAATAATCCGGAGATGGAGGATTCAGGCTTGAATACAGGAAGGTGTTGGACTGTGCTGGTTATTACATTGCGTACCTCTTCCTTTAGGTGAAGCACTTATATATTACGACTGAATTACAGCAATGCCCTCTTGAAAGACCGAGCTCCATTAGAAGATCAGTTGGTCTTTCCAGACACGGTACAAAACATGTTTAGTTTGGTGTAATTTTTTCATTTTATTGTGGGGTGGGGGCTTGGGGTCTAGAATTGGTGGCTAAACTTTAACTTGTAATTTCAGAATCTGACATCAGGCCAAACAAGCTTTTAACTTGGTGTCAGAAACAGACGGAAGGATACAGGAATGTTACTGTCACAGATCTCACTACTTCTTGGAGGAGTGGCCTTGCTTGTCTCTTGGAATCCCTTCAGCAAGCCAGCCAGCGTAGGGTCGGGGGCGGGAGGGGCGTGGTTGTTTGTTTCTCTCTGTCTTCCCATCTCTTTCATTCTTTCTTTCCACCTCTCTCTCTTTCTCTCTCTCTCTCTCAGACAGGGGTCGTTTCGTAGAAAAAGAGCTAGGGGAACTCATTAGCATAACTCATTAGCATATGCCACACCCCCGGACATCACCGGAAGTGTGTCATAAGGCCACACTCGGGCCCCGGGGGGGAACCCCACCCTGGCGTGCACATCACCGGAAAGTGACGTTATGACACCGGGCACGCTGGGGGCGGGGCCACGACCATCCGAGGGGGAAACTCTATGTTCTACCAGTTCCACTGGTGACAGTGGAACTGGCTGTCTTCCCTCCCTCCCCATTTATTTGCTTTCTTTCTACCTCTCTTTCTCTTTCTCTTCCCCCCTCCTCCCTCCATTTATTTTCTTCCTTCCTTCCTTCCTTCCTACCTTTCTCTCTACCTCCCTTTCCTTCCTTCCTCCCCTTCACCATCTATTTGCTTTTTTTGTTTCTCTCTTTTCTCTCTTTCTTTCCACCTCTTTCATTCTTTCTTTCCACCTCTCTTTCTCTGATAAATAAATATCATTGAACAAATAATATCATTATCAATATCTGTTTTTACCCCTTTTGTTTTTATTTTTGGCAGTCCCATTTAATGTTAATGAAAAGCAAATTTGCATATCTTTCAATAAAAACGTGTGTGTAATATTTGTTCATGTCTTGCGGCTCTCAAACATCTGACGTTTATTCTATGCGGCTTTTACATTAAGCAAGTTTGGCCACCCCTGATCTAATGTCTGTCTTCAAGTGTTTGTTGCAATACACAGCTTCCAGAATATTTGCCTTGCAGTTTCTAGAATTAGAGTTTGATCTTGCCGATTTAGTATTTGCTTTCATTTAAAAGTGCACAAGTTCCAGTTTGAGAGAACTGTGTTTCTCTGTCTTCCGTTATGTTGCTGATATGTCACATCTTTTATGCATGGTGTTCAATCTGTGTTACGCCACTTAAAGAGACATGTTTAAATTTACGTATTGGATTTCCAGAGAAGAGAAAAGAATGGAAAGAATGCTGGACAACTGGGCAGAAAGGCATTACTTCTGCTATCATGGTGGAAAGAGGGTTCATCAGCTAGCCAAACCCGAGTTTTGGAATGATCCTTCTGCCTGTAAAGCATTCTAAATTTTTTGCCATTCATTTCCATTAAAATGAAGAATGGCAGTTGCTATGAATATTACATTTAAAGTTGCATCAGTTGTATTGTGCCATTAAGATTAGAGTTAAAACCAAAAAAATATCAGAAGGAGACTTTAATCCACAGTTTGTTGGTTTAAAAAGTGTGGGCTTACCCCTATGAACCATGAGAACAACACAGAGGTAAGGTTTGTTACCACCGGTTTATGATACTTTGAAGGTTAAGAGAAAAATCCTACAGGCACACACAAAATACCACTTTGTAATTCTCTTCTGAAAATATAGCAGTCTTGGTAGAAGAAGAAGAGATTGGATTTATACCCCGCCCTTCACTTGGAGTCTCAGAGCGGCTTACAAACTCTTTTCCTTCCCCTCCTCACAACAGACACCCTGCGACGTGGGAGGGGGTGAGAGAAATCCAAACTGCTCTTTTTCAAGGACAGCTGTGCCAGAGCTTGTGACTGACCCAAGGTCACATCAGCAGGTGCAAGTGGAGGAGTGGGGGAATCAAACCCGGTTCGCCCAGATTAGAGTCTGCACACTTAACCACTACACCAAACTGGCTCTCAAACTGGTACTAAGCAACACAGTATAAAGGGGAGCTCAGAATGTCAGGGGATGGAGGAACATTGCCCAGATGAACAGAGCAGGGATGAGGAATGGGAATGCTTAGTCATTCTCACTGGCTTTCCCCCCTACCAATCAAAACTGATTTCTTCGATTGCTGCTTCACCTTGGGAGAAATGTACAGTTATCCAAGTTCTTGGCATAAATCAAGCGCTACTAGGGGTGATCAAAGTTCTGTTAGGGCAGATTTCACCATCAAATCTTGAACCATTGGACGTCGCCAATAATCGTTTTTTTGGGTGGAAACACTTTGTACCTCTTATATTTGAATAGTCATATATTTGAAGAAATTGTCACATTTGGGATGTCACCTCTCTGTATCTTGGATAGTGTAGTCCTTAAAACACTCAGTTAAGATCAGGAAGATGCAAGTTCAGCCTTGGGCCATATGCTGTGTATCAGCCCAGCATGACTCACATAGTTATTATACTGATAAAAATGTAGGCAGGTTGAAGCACGCGTGCACCCTGAACTCTTTAGAGGAAGGGAGGGATAAAAAAATTAAAGATGATAAATTTGGAATCCTCCCATTCCCTGTATCAATTTTTGTTGGAACAACCAGATGAAAGCCCCTGTTTGGACAATTAGATACCCTGTGTTAAAAAAATAAAAACAGACTAAATACACTTAAAATTAAATGGCTTTCTAACGCAACATTGTGGTGGGTTGAAAAATTCTGAACATCTCTAGCATGTTTTGGCTGTGATGCTCCAGATTTGTGAAAATTGTTTGACTGTAGCTAGTATCATCTTGAGTTCAGGCCAGCACACTATTGGGGTTAGAAATTTTCCAAAAAGGAACGTTGTTGATTTTTTGGCACAAAGGGTTAATTTTGAAGGGTGTTTTCTCCCCCCCCCCATGTTTCAGAAGTGTACAGTTGTGCTCTTCTACACAAAAAACCAAGAAATTAAAATCCTTTTCGAAAATTAGCCTTTGTGTTAAAGAACACAAAGAGCTAATTGTGGAAGGGCTTTGTTATTTTGATGTGGGCTTTTTAGTCTTTGAACACATGGGTACGTGTTTCATAGGATCCTGGTTCCTCAGGATTGAGGAAATACACACGCATGGGGCTTTCTAAAAATTCCCTTTGCTGTGTTCTCAGTGCGCTGCAAAATGGGAGGAGCATTATTTCTTTTGCCCACTTGGATGAATACCTTAATGTGGTGAGTGGGTTGTGTGTGTCAACAAAGCTGAGAGCTAACCCTGGTTAGTACTGTGCAGAAGAAGGCAATGGTAAACCACTTCTGATCATCTCTTACCTCAAAAACACTATGATGAGACAATCCAAAATGAACATGGCATAGCAGGGTTACAGCTGAACATCCAGAAGACAAAAGTAATGTCTACTGGGGAATTACACAGCTTCATGGTTGATGATTAAGAAATCGAAATTGTTAAAGGTTATCTATTCCTTGGCTGAATCATTAACCAAAAGGGAGACTGCAACCAAGAAATCACAAGGAGATTGAGACTTGGAAGGGCAGCCATGGAGGAGCTAGAAAAGATTCTTAAGTGTAAGGATGTGTCACTAGGGACCATGATCATTCATACCATAGTATTCTCCCATTACTATGTACACATGTGAAAGTTGGACAATGAAGAAAGCTGACAGGAAGAAAGTTGATTCATCTGAAATGTCGGAGGAGAGTTTTACGGATACCGTAAAAAAACAAATAAGTGGGTTCTAGAACAAATCAAGTCTGAATTCTCCCTGGAAGGTAAAATGGCTATTGTACTTTGGTCACATTATGTGGAGTCACTAGAAAAATAGTAATGCTGGTAAAACTTGAATGCAGCAGGAAAAGAGGAAGACCCAACATGAGATGGATTGACTCAATAAAGTAAGCCATGACCTTCAATTTGCAAGATTTGAGCAAGGCTGTTAATGAAAGGATATATGGGAGGTCATCAAGTCATAGGGCCACCATAATTCGGAAAAGACTTGAAGCACTTAACACAGACATACTATTTCTTTAATATCCGCATTTTACTCCTCAGAGTTCTGTGACATGTGAAACATTTTTTGATATGAAACTCCTGGATTAAAAATGGAATAAACCCCAGGCAGGATGGAGCTGGAAGAAATCTACATTTTTGTGTTCCAAACATTTTCTAAGTGTCCTTTGGCATAAATTAGTTGACGTTATGCATGAGATGTGTTCTGTTGCATTTAGGGGGAATGGCAATCAAGATTCAGGAAATTTTTAGAATAAAATATATAAATCTTGAATAAACTTTCTTCTTATGCAAAATTCATCTTCTTTATGAAATTGCCCTTTGTTGCTGGAGTGGATTTACTAATGGAGTAAGAACAGAATAAATCTGCTCATATCTAACTAAGAAATCTACTTGGTAAACTAGGACAATTCCAGATTATTTTGTTTTCAAAGGAATTGAAGAAAAAATGCATATCTTCTCAAGGCCACCCAGTAAGTTCAAGGATAAGGCTGGACTTTCACTCAGGGCCAAGGACAGCACTCTGCTGATTCCTAGCCAACACAGATTCAATTTAGCCAGTTTTAACATTTATGTAGATTTAGGTAAATCTTAACCTTTATTTGCCAAGGTATTTAAAGTACATTGTGAAATAAACTGGAAGGGTTTTTTTTTCTTTTTCTTTTCTTTTTTGGCACTTCATGAACAAAATTTTCTAAAGTATTACAGCAACCCTTTTGAGGTTTATTTAAAACTTATGTTTCAAAAGAAGGTAAAGAACTTAAGAGGCAAATTTCGCTCAAGTGCCAGAAAGGAGCTCTTCTTCGCTGACATGGTTTGTCTTTGTCTTTGTTTCTTTTAATCCCCAGTGACTTTGATTCTCTGAATGAAGAAGATGCTGTCAAAAACAACCAGCTGGCATTTGACATTGCTGAACGGGAGTTTGGAATTCCTCCTGTCACCACTGGGAAAGATATGGTGTCTGCTGGAGAGCCTGATAAACTTACTATGGTCATGTACCTCTCAAAATTCTATGAGCTATTTAGGGGAACACCATTGAGAACAGTTGGTAAGCCATCCTAGGTTGTTCTTGCTTGTAGGCGGGCAGGCATTATTATTTTTTACAGCCTTCCTTTTATTTTTTACAGCATTTGAGCCAAAGGGTTTCTTTTTTTTTTCTGGGAGTCCCAGTGTAACTGCTCTGGAATGCTCAACTGTATTTAGATGTGCACTGTAACTACCTTGGACTTTAAAAGGAAATAAAAGGTAAAGGTTCCCTTACTTGAAAACCAGTCGAATCTGACTCCAGGGTTGCGGTGCTCATCTCCGTTTCAAAGCCGAAGAGCCAGCGCTGTCCGAAGACGTTTCCGTGGTCATGTGGCCGGCATGACTAAACACCAAGGCGCACGGAACGCTGTTACCTTCCCACTGAAGTGGTACCTATTTATCTACTTGCAATTTCTTGTTTTTGAACTGCTAGTTTGGCAGAAGCTGGGGCCAGAGATGGGAGTTCACTCCGTCATGCGGCACCCGGGTCTCGAACTGCTAGACTACTGACCTTCCACAGCCTGCAGTTCAGTGTCTTAACCACTTGAGCCACCGCAGCTCCTTTTAAAAGGAAATAGGGAAATATTTAATGTTGCTCATAGGTTATGTTTCATTACATGTTTGAGGAGAACAAGATGAAATTGATATTTTATAGTTGTCTACTTTGCACTTGGTCATTGTCCGTCTTTGCATTTAACTCCCCTCTATCATTGTTAACGTAAAAGAAATTTAAATGGAAGCATATATACATATGCTTCTAAAGATGCTCAGTCTTAGGTTTTGGCAAAACCCGCCAAAAAAGGAACTTCATTTTTGTGGAGCAGCTATCAAGAATAACCACTGGCCTTTTGTTGTTATAGAAGCACAGTCCTCTGCAAGTCTACTCAGGCATCTCAACGTTCAGTGAGGCTTACTCCCAAGTTCATATGCATAGACAGGGCTGGCAAGGGTGGGGGGACAAAATCCCTGGGGCCCAAGTCAGCTGTAGGGCCCCTAAAGCCGGTATCTTGTTTCTTTCAGCCTTGGAGTGGGGAAAGACACACGCGTTGCCTCTTGCAAATGACCCGGGGGTTTGCATCAGACTATCAACCCACACTGGGGAAGAGACTTGCAAACACGGGGCTTGGCTGGAGCAATGGGGTTCCCTCCCATCCCCTTCCCCAAATTTGTTGCGCCCCCTTGGAGAGGCTCCCCTTTTGGTGGGGGTCCTGATCTCTGTTGCATTCCTCAATACGGGGATGGGGGAAGAAAAAAGTCACCCCCCAAATCAGAGTCACAATCTGGGGACCAAGATCTGGGGAGTTTGGGGAGATCGCCCAGAATTACAACTGATATCCAGACCATAGAGATCAGTTCGCCTGGGGAAAATGGCTGCAGGCCCTGCCTGAAGGCTGGCAACCCTAGCAGTGTCACCTTTAAAGACTAACAAAATTTATTTCACAAAGTTTGAGTCCAGTAGCATCTTTAAGACCAACAAAGTTTAATTCTGGATATAAGCTTCAGGCGCATTTTAGTGGGGAATCCTCATTTTACACACATTTACAGAAAATGATTGGGAGGGAAGCAGTCAAGGCAGACAAAAGCTTGGTGTGGAACCTATAAAAAGTCATGTGTAGTTCTATGTGTAAGGGCACTGGACTGCCCGGGATGGAAAGAAGAGCCCCTATGTTGAAATTGATAGTCACAGAAGTTGTGCAGCAGTCCCAGATTTAACTGAAGGGTCTGTTCAGCAGTCCTTCTCTCATGATCTTAAACTTAAAGAGGGATTCTGACCCATAACTTGGGATCTTCTCTGTCCAGCCCACAAGTCCTGATTTTTTTTTAGCAATCCAAAGAAGCCCCAACTTCATCTCCTTAAGTCACCTGGATCCATGCCACAGTAACATCAAGACTATTGTAATGCACTTTACATGGGTCTGCCCTTGAAAGTGTACCTGGAGATTCCAGTTGGTGCAGAATACCATACCTCAGTAATTATCAGGAGCCAGATGATATGTGCACATTACACCCATCCTGCAGTCACTCATTTGTCTATTCATCAGCTACCTGGTTCAGTTCAAGGCACTAACACATACATAGCCTTGCATGGCCTTGGACCCTCATACCTGCAGGACGGTCTCTCCTCCTGTGTTCCACCAGGACAGCTCCACTCATATGTTTAGGGTCTTCTGCAGGTGCAGCCATGCAAACAGGCAAAATCAACAGCTGCCCGTACATGTGCACTGTGGCCTCCTTGTCTGAGGTGTAAATTTTGCAAAATGGAATTCAGAAGAGCTGTTCTATAAAGGGCTATACTATATCAGAATAGTTCAGGGATGTGCTTTATAAAGGGAAAGGGACTTCGGATTATACCACTGTATATATAACACATTGTCCTTTCATTGTTTTCTACTGCTGTACTACCATTTTACTCAATTATTTCCACATTAGTATGTATCATGGCTAGTATGCTATGCTCCTTCAGATTTGGTAATCCTAGTACTTTTTTATATGATGTCCATCATATTGATTGTACCAACCTATATTGTGCTTATTAGATGTCTTTTTGTAGAGTCTGTTATCAGTTTATACTGTGCAATCCACTTGATTTCATTGAAAAAGTGGACTATAAATACAGTGAATAAAATAATGGCCATCTAGGTTACTGGCTGAAATCTTATGCATAGTGACCTGATAATAAGGCCCACGGAATATGGCAGGATAGTTTTTAAATAAGTGAAGTGGTTGTTGTAGATTTTCCGGGCTGTATGGCCATGGTCTTGGCATTGTAGTACCTGACGTTTTGCCAGCAGCTGTGACTGGCATCCTCAGAGGTATAACACAGAAATATGGTGTACTCTCTTTGTCAGTGTAGAAGAAAAATGGTAGGCAGGTAATTTATATCTACTCAGGAAGGTCGGGTAGGGCTGAGTCGTTTTCTTGTAGGAGTTTCCCAGGCTGTGACATGCTAATGGAGGAGCTTTCCTGGGGAGGTTCTTTTGCATATGGATTGGCTGTTGAAGTGCTAATCTTATCTGTAGTGCTCGTTGCCAGCTGTAGAGCATTTCGTGTTTTTCAGGACGGGAAACCATGCCCTATTTATTTTTAAACTCTCTTCTTTCCTGTTGAAATTGTGTGAACGTAGCCTAACTCAAACAGGACACAGTAGCTTATTTCAAGACACTGAAATGCTGGACAACACATCCAATTACCATGTCAGTTTACACAGGGAAGCCATTGAAATGCATAAACATAAACACATAAACGTCAGGTACTTCAATGCCAAGACCACGGCCATACAGCCCAGAAAATCTACAAAAACTATTGAACTCTGGCTGTGAAAGCCTTCGACAACATCAGTGAAGTGGGTTTGGGTGTTTTGTGTCCATATCATGATTTCATTTTAAATATAGAAAAGAGTAAGAGTCCAGTAGCGCCTTAAAGACTAACAAAATCTGTGGTATCTGAAGAAGTGAGCAGTGACTCATGAAAACTCATACCCTACCACAAATTTTGTTAGTATCCAGGGGTCATTTCGTAGAAAAAGAGCTAGGGGAACTCATTAGCATAACTCATTAACATATGCCACACCCCCTGACATCAGGGGCCCGGTGGTGGACCTGCAAGGCCAGCGGGAGTGCGAGGAAGCCCTGCCAAGGCCCTCCCTGGCCCCAGGCAGGCAGTGGTGGGGAGAGGCGGGGAGGAAGCAACTTACCCTCCCTCTTCTCCTGCCTCCTCCTGGCTGAATGAGGGCTGGAAGCGGGGCAGCTGGAAGCAGGGGGCGGGGCTTCATCATGTGCCCCGCCCCCCTGCACCTCACCCGGGGGAACTGCGTTCCCCCGCGTTCCCCCCCAAAATGACCTCTGTTAGTATTTAAGATGCTACTGGACTCTTACTCTTTTTTACTGCTACAGACAGACTAAGACGGCTACCCATCTTGATCTATCTTTTTCAACAGGGCTTTTTTTGTAGACAAAGCCCAGCAGGAACTTATTAGCATATTAGGCCACACCCTGACATCACCGCTCATTAGC